CCCTACTGCAACTGTTATCGTGAATGGGGTCACCACAAAGTGTTTGCTTGACACAGGCGCTGAGGTCTCTTTACTGTCAAGCCAGTTTTATCAAAAACATGTAGCAAACACCTTGGGGAAATTACAGCCCGTGGGCAAGCTCATCAAACTGATGGGCGCCAATGATCTCGAAATCCCAGTAGAAGGTTACATAGAGACCTCATTAGAAGTTTTGGGCCAAAGTTTTAAGGCTTCTTTCTTAGTTTCTAGAGAGACGGCAGCATCCGCTAACGTCTCCAAGAAAAACTATTGCCCCGTTATACTTGGCTGTAACATTTTGAGGCGAATTGCAGCCAATTCGAAGAGAATTGGGTCTGTTCAGCTAGATCCAGACTGGGATCTAGCACTCCGTTGGTTGCAAACCGCAGTATTGGTTGATGACCTGCATACCGCAGAGTACACGTCAGCAGACGTGTACACGTGTGAACGTGTTGTTGTGCCCCCGCAAACCGTGGCTAGTGTCAAGTGTATTTCAGACGACCACGACTTAAATTCGTTGCATATCAAGGAGTTTTTTATAGTGAGCAGCATTCCCCTTTGCTTGTCTAACAATGGTAGTTTCCGAGAAGTAAAGTCGGGTAACGAAGATGGTTCATTGGCCATATGTCAGGTGCTTGACGGTGACGGACAAATTGACGGTGCAAATATTAACGTGTATATAGCAAATGCTAGTGCAGAGCCCTTGATTATCCCGGCGCTCACTCAGGTAGCAGTTTTATCTGCAATTAATACTGAGGAGCAGATTTTCCTTGAGCAGGATGGGGATGGGCTTCACGTGTCAGTGCACCGTGTTGTAGCCAGTGTTCGCGAAGAAAACGAACCGAATGACTCCATAGATAGCAATTTGCCTTGCAATGAGCATGAGTTAAAAGAGGATGCACTGACAGATAGGGAAAATAGGGAAACCTTTGTTTTTCCAGACGGCACCAATTTTGTCATGTCTCCTGGTCTTACCCTTAAACACTTAGCACCAGAAGACGCTATTAAGGCAGCGGAATTAATTAAAAAGTATATCGATGTTTTCTCAGCCGGGCCCTTTGATTTGGGTTATTGTGACATCATCCCTCACAAAATACGGCTGAGCGATGATACTCCAGTGAACCTCCCTTATCGGAGAATATTACCTTCTAAGGTTGGAGAAGTGAAGACCCTGCTTCAGGATCTTCTCGATAGGGGCATAATACGTCGACCATCTAGTCCTTACGCGAGTCCCATCGTTCTTGTGCGTAAGAAAAGTGGCCAACTCAGATTATGTATTGACTTCAGTTGCTTAAACGCGAAGACAGCCAAAGATTCATTTCCATTGCCGAGGATAGACGAAACCCTAGAGGCTCTTGGTGGCGCTAAAGTATTTTCTTCTTTAGATATGGCCCATGGCTACTTCCAAGTAGCCATGGAAGAAGATTATATTGATAAGACCGCGTTTAGGGTACCTTGGGGACTCTATGAATTTTTACGTCTTCCCCAGGGTCTCATCAACAGCTCAAGTACGTTTCAGAGAATAATGGAACACATTTTCGGAGATCTGAACCTGTCGGAGCTGATTCTCTATCTAGATGACCTGTTAGTCTACTCTGCCACATTTGACAGCCACATTGAGAGACTTGACAAAGTTTTCAGTCGTTTTAAACAATACGATTTCAAACTAAACGGGTCAAAGTGTCAGTTATTCAGAGATTCCGTGGTTCATTTGGGTCATGTCGTAGACTCTAACGGAGTGTCAGTATATCCTGATAAAACCGAACGAGTGAGGTCTTGGCCTACCCCAACAACTGCAAATCAACTGCGTTCCTTCCTTGGGTTAGCCTCGTACTACATGCGTTTCGTGCGCGACTTCGCCAAAATTGCAGAGCCATTACACGCGCTCACCGGTAAAGCACAATCAAAAGCAGGGAAGGCCACAGCCCCATTCGTTTGGACAGAAGAGGCCGACGTAGCTTTCAATGTTTTGAAAGACGTACTGTGCACGGCCCCTGTCTTGGCATATCCGTGCTTTGATCGCGACTTTGTACTTGAGACGGATGCTTCTGCTAAGGGTTTAGGCGCGTGTCTCTGTCAGGCTGATGACAGTGGGAAACTTCACTCAGTCGCGTACGCGAGTCGAAGTCTACGCGGAGCAGAGAGAAATTATGCCGATTTATCCAGTTTCAAGCTGGAATTACTCGCCTTGAAATGGGCAGTGTCAGAAAAATTTCGCGACTACCTGCTTGGTCACCACACAATCGTGTGGACTGACCATAACCCTCTGTCTCACCTACAAACGGCAAAACTTGGTGCTACTGAGCAGAGATGGATAGCCCAATTAGCACCTTTCGATCTTGAGATAAAATATAGATCCGGGAAGACAAATAAGTGTGCTGACGCCCTAAGCCGCTATCTTCATGTCGCCTCAAACCTGCGTTGAACTACAAAATTATGGACTCACCTGCGAGGGTTCACAAGTACCCATTGATGTGTCAGCTCAGAATGCGTCCGAAACGCATACCCAAAAGACAGAAGGCACATCACAGGAGACCGCCGGTTCTGCCCCTGCGGTGCTCCCCTCGTTCTCACATGAGGAGCTTGCCTCCCTTCAGAAAGAAGATCAGTCTTTACGAGTTGTGTGGGACAGTTGGTATAAAAAAAATGCAAGCCTTGCCAAAATATGGATGATGTTAAACTCACTTCCGAAGTGCGTGGTTGGTTAAAAGAATGGCCACGAATAACAGAACACAATGGCGTGTTGTATAGGGAAACTGTTGACCCTGCAAGAGGGACTGTTTTCCAACTCCTTGTTCCGCAAAAACTCCGTAAGTTAGTTTTGGAAGCAGCCCACGACCATTGGGGCCACCAAGGCATAAACAGAACATTGGCGTTTCTTCAGCAGCGCTGTTATTGGCCGGGAATGACGAATTGTGTCCGAAATCACGTTCAGACGTGTTTTCGTTGTACGTTGACGAAAGTGCCAACGCCAACAATTCGTTCGCCAATGCGGCATTTGCTGGCGTTTCAACCTCTTGAACGCCTTGCTATCGATTTTGTCAAACTTGATGTCGTTAAGGGGAAGATTGAAAATGTTCTCGTACTTACTGATGCCTACACTAAATTCTCCCTAGCAATTCCATGTAGGGATCAAACAGCGCCTACAGTAGCTCGTGTCTTGCGGGATCAGTGGTCCTCACATTATGGCACTCCAGCCCAAATTCATTCAGATCAAGGCAAAAATTTCGAGAGCCATTTGATCAGAGAGCTGTGCAATTTATATGGCATAAAGAAAACGAGAACCACTGCTTACCACCCGCAAGGCAACGGGCAAACCGAAAGGTTCAATCGCACGCTTTGTGGCCTTATCAGATCACTTGATGGTAAAATTCGTCATAATTGCCCAGATTTTCTGCCCCATCTAGTACATATCTATAACACCACTCCGCACAGCGTAACGGGGTACCCGCCTTTTACGCTAATGTTCGGCCCAGATCCGGTTGTTCCGCTAGATCAACTGCTGAATAATACGCGTACAAACTGGAATGAACATGCCATTCAGAAACAGGCAGAGATCATCAGACAAACACTATATTGAGTCTTGAAAAAGCACTCAGTCACTTTGTTTGCACGTGTAGTTTAAAAGTTACTGAAATGGAACCAGTTTGTGTTCGGTAAAATTTGGAATAGGAATTCCAAAAGCAGGAGATTCACATATTTTAGTCATACTTTAAATGTGTGTATGCATGCAAGAGGATTATATATAAAGAGTAATATGTAGTTACCCTTTTTGACTTATTTAGTACAAAACCACTCCGGAAAAAAAGAAAAAATGATTTTTTTTTTGGACTTATGGATCGTTCGAGGGCGACTGATCTTTAAAGCAGGGAAATTGTGGCGATTCATAATAATTTGAAAATCATCAAAACGTATTTTGTCACCCCGTGCTTAGGCACGCCATACTTTTTGGATGCAAATGTATACATTGCGTGGCAAATGTATACATTGGGGCCTATATGACACAGCGCACAAAAGCCAGTGCATGCTGCAGATGCAGGGAGATAACGCTGTTTTGGCGTACTATTATTGAAGTGCAAGACGATAACTTTTCTTTTGGCCAGACATACCTAGTCTGCGACGTGTAGACCAGTTCGAGGGCTTTCTCTCCAAGCTGTGAGCTGTGCTGTTTTGTGTATCCTTAAATAACGGAAGCCAAAGGCACTGGGGTAGGTTTATCTGTATAATTTATTATTTAATAATATTTATAAATCAGACCGATTACTTTGTTAGAAACTTAATTGCCACCTCACGTATTGTAATTTTTCAGGGTTTTTACTTCTACTGAAAGAAGTCTTGTCTTCTTCGGGATCATAAAGCTAGATAAGAGATAGATCTGAAGCTTGTCATTTGTCATGTCATCTGTTGAATAAAACAACGGCGAGGCCTGCCGACGAGTCGACCCTTGATATGTGGCTTTCCAGCTACTACAATAATATGAAATGTGATACTGCATGTTGTCTCGTTAAGATCGTAACAGTTTAATTAAAATAAAATCATGTTTTCGTAACTCACGCCATGCTCGCGCTGCGACGAATTGATTCTGTTTTTACCCCAGACACCGCATTCAAAAACAAACGCAAATGTAACGCACAGGCAGGCACCAGACTACTCCTAATTTGCATACGTGTTCAAAAATCTTGCACATGCAAATGATCCAATACCACTTACCAGGGTGAGAGAGCAGGTAGTGGTTGGCGCGTACTGCTCGACACCCTGGGGACGAGGTTGGTACGACTACGACTACGTGGCACTAGTACGATAATCCTTTCCTAGGGACGATGGACACACATCTATCGTCTCTCTTCTGGCCTTTTTCTTGCCTTATTTACAGAACCTTCATGATATAAGACTTGAAAGAGGTTTTACTATGCATTGATATAATAAAATCAAATAATATACACCAATATCATGAATTATTTCGATTTAATAAAAAGACAAACCTCCTGCCGAATGCGCTGAAGCTACCGAAGTCGCCATTGTTGCACGCAGTCTGGTTCCCTGACTATGCCGTGACGTCACCGAGTCAGGGGGCCGGGGGGGGGGGGTTCGATCCAACTCGGACCCAAACCACTCGACAACCAACTCGGACCAACTACCAACTCGGACCCACTACCAACTCGGACCTACAACCAACTCGGACCCACTACCAACTCGGACCCATGCATGACCAACTCGGACCCATCGTTTACAATAATTCGACAGCGTTTTCAATCATTCGACAATATTATAAAGTTTGTCCACTTATCATCTGTTAATACAGTGATGCTGTTATGTATAAATTGTCATTGTAGTTGTCAGGTAAAATATCTGTATTGCAGCAGTTTGTCGTTGTAAAGTGCATTGAAATGCTATTTTGAAATGCGCTTTAAAAGTGTAATTAATTATTCATTTTTATTATTTGTTTCCATTGAAACATATTGCGCTTTAACCAAAAGTAATTAAAATTAAAGTTTAACCAATTATTCATGTTCATATTTGACATCGTTCACGCCATCTTGCTCAATTTAACAGCGATTTATTTCATTTTTAGTTCAAACCACATACATTCAGAACAGAGATCTTCATGGAAAAATAAAATTGGAAAGTAAGACATTGAAACATAAACACTTTCAAACATGGCATTATTAATTCAATGAATATAAGTAAACATATTATAAGTCATTAAATAAAATAAATAAGGTATAAAAACAAAGTCTATTCTATGTACATGTACATGTATTTAAAACAAAACCCACATAAACACCATTGTATACTGCAAGAAAAACGAAGGTTCCATATTGAACAAAAAAGGTTAATCAAAAAAGTATAAAAAGTTACACAGATTCGTAAAAAAAACCCACAAAATTAAAAGCCAGCATGTAAAAAAAGATAAACTTATTAAGTACCCTACAAAAAGATGAAATGTCAATCATCAAAAAGGAGTGTTGGAGCTCTGGGAAGATTATCCTTCAAGGCCTTACAGGTAGCTGCCTGTATGTTCGACTATGATGTTCCACGGGGGAAAAAGTTAATCAAAAAAATATTAAAAGTTAAACAGATTCGTAAAAAAAAAACAATTAAAAAAACTAACAATTACATGAAATGAAAGGTCTATTTCAAATTAATAACTTCCTCACTGAAAAAAATGTGTAATATGCTTTACCAAAAAACAAAGTAAGTGAATTTAAATATATAATTAAATGAAATTAACTGCCTAAATGGGTAAAAAATATTATTATTAAATGACAGGAGTATAAACAACACGTGCCATTTCCAAGTACCCAAAAATAATTAAAATCAACGTAGTATGATCAAACAACAAAATTAAAAGCCCATTCTGACCAATATTAGTACAGAATATGTTCACTATATATAAGCACTGTAACTTAAGATGACCTTTAAATATAATCTCTGAAACTAATGATTAAGTCATTGTTGAGTCCGAGTTGGTCGTGCTTGGGTCCGAGTTGGTAGTGGGTCCGAGTTGGTAGTTGGTCCGAGTTGGTAGTGGGTCTGAGTTTGTCTTCGGTTCGAGTTGGTAGTGGGTCCGAGTTGTCTAAAATTGTCTCCTCTCGTGAAATGTGGCGCCCAAGGGGGGGGGGGGACATAATGTGATTTAAAGTATTGCGAGCGCGTAGCGCAAAGCCTATAACTTAACAGCGTGGGTAGGGGCGGCGGAACCGGGGGGATTTTTCCAGGCCAATAATAGTGCCCCTCTCGTGGTTATTAATCATGTGCCTCGAGATGAAAACAAAACTGCCCCTCAAACGCAAACGTATGAAAGCATATGACCGCGCTTCAAATAAAATTGTCTCCTCTCTTGTATAAACGCAAAACTGCACCTCAAACACACAAGTACCCCTCTCGCTTTTTGTGCAACTTCTCGAGATGGAAAATTGCGCCTCGAAAGATGGTGCCCCGCTCGCAACTTAAATTAATTGTGCCCCCAAGATGAAAAACTGCTCCTAAAATAAGTAGTGCTCTTCACGCGAATAAAATGGTCACATAAATGGCCATTAAAAAGCAACAGTGCCCCTATCGCTCGCAATATGGCCTGTAGCTACATATGGAGCTAGGACCAGGAAAGACAAAGAGCAAGATGGACAACATGATTATTTTATTCCTCGTCATATTAATATAGCGAAATGAACGGGACCATATTCTTTTCCTCCACTTTCACACCGTACCGACAGAGGGTGCCCATGATTTTTCTGAGCAAGTGCCCCTTTTTGGTGTTGCCCCCCCCCCCCCAGTTTGAATAGCGTTCTGCCTTTTTTAGCAAAAGCTAGATCATCATTTATTACATATCATTTTCGAGTTGAGAGTCATTGAATCAGCTACATATATCCTGAGCTACAATGTATAAAATCAAATTGTGGCCTACAAATTTATTCGGGGACGAAAAAAGTGTTTGTGTGGGTGTGCTCTTGTATTGTATTACGCTCGAGGACAGACAACAAAAGGAGCACAAAGGAGCCTTTGACCCTCGGACGACGGTGCCTATTGTTAAAACCGGTCCTCGATCGTACGGTTATGTGCTTAGTCTATGGGAAAGTGTTATATTAGGGGACAAAGGAAAACACAATAGTTGACCTCAGGCGTATAGTAAAAAAGACTGTGTGTGTGTGTGGGGGGG